GGGCCGCTGCACGGCGAGGACGGCTGCCTCGGCAGGTACTACTGGTGCATCATCATGACCATCTCCTGCATCTTCTGCATACTTGTCTTTGTTATATTCATTGTGGTTATTGTTAAATACACTGATTGAAAGAAAAAAAGTTGTTTTATTCAGTTCACCCTCTCTCTCTCTCTCTCTCTCTCTCTCTCTCTCTCTTCTATTCCTATGTCCCCAAAGTGGGGCAGAAGGCGTCCACAGTACGCCGCCAGCTCGCTCTGTCTTGGGCTCTGCGTTGTATCTCGTTGTATTATTCAGTTCACTGGAATAAAAGAATCCAAACTCTGTTAAACATAATTCATTAGTCTTGGAATAACTATAGAATTAGTTGTTGCTAGAGAATTTGTCAGCGCAGTATCTTTCGGGTATTTGATCTTTGACGACGAAATCTGAAAAAGTCTGCTGTAAATTGTTACAGCAGATTTTTTTATTTACGTGCCAAATTTCAATAAAGTATATTGCACCGTTGCAGAATTATCTAATAATAAAGAAAAAAAAATAGTGTATCCCACGGAAACTGGTATTAATTCCGGTAATAAAAGTATCCTATGTGTTCTTCCAGACTATCCTCTACATCTATGCCAAATTTTATCGACATCCATTCAACATTTAGGCTACAAACTTTAACATGCATTCAAATATCGCATTTATAATATTAGTAAGATAGAACCAAATGATTTAATTGTTTTATTCCCAATCTTCGGCGCGAATTTCGAAAAGGTTTGAAATAACGTTAGATGCAAACAGATAAGCGTTACACGGCGTAATATAACGTATTGCATAGCATACATTCTAGTAAACACTGCGCTAACAGTACACAACAACATTGTAACAATTGCGTTTTTACGTTATTACCATTTTTTTAATTTTCGAAATGTACATGAGTCGGAACTCTCTCCCTTCATAAACACCGAATTTCAAACACTTTGTCGTCTTTGTTCCAGTATGTTCAGGATTGTACAAATCATAGACATTTCCAATGAAAGTGATTAAAAAAATATGGAGCAAGCAACACCGTTTTCATCTGAACCTCACTAGCGCTCCTGGTGGCAGAAGTCAAAATAAAACTAACTCTGTTAATGTTTAGAGTTATTTTAAAGTTAATTTAGCTTTTCGACGAGAGATGACGCATCATTTAAAAAAAAGGTTTCTCGGGATGCTTTTTATTTCTTTTAAATTTGACGCTCACACAACTAACGAATTGATCGCAATCGCCCAACGATTTGTTTTTATTTTGTAGGATTTTTTTCGATCGATTTTATTTTTAAATCTATAAATATGCTCAGTATGGGCGGATAGAAAAAGTAATTTTCTCTTGTAATTAAAAAACCCAAATAATCACGAATATTTTTAAAATTCAATGTAAACCATTGATTGATATACTGAGAAAAAATGTATTGATACATTTTGTTTACAATAAGCCTTTATCGACGCCACTAGAATGAAAAATATTTGCGTAGATGTCTTTTCTGTTACTCCCCCAAAGATGGCGTTGCGACAACTTTGCAGTTTGAAAATTCAACAGAATTTTTTCCACTACTTCCCAACAGATGGCGCAGGAACAGAATTTTCTAACTGCTGTTTAAACATTCCCCTCGTGTCATTTTAGCTATTTATCAATAGATGGCGTTGTCATAACTAGTTCGACGAGACTTTTAATTTTCAATATAGGTCCAAAAGGAGAGCGCTACTGAGCTAAAAGCAACTCCATCTGTATACATTTAAAGGTTTTCATAAATAAAACAACGAAATATTTATAAAATCCATATATTTAAGTCTCAAACAGGCCCACGTACAGTACAACTACCAACAAACAAACGGTTTTAGGTATTTTTTGATATATTTCATTATTTGTACAAATGATTTCAACTTACCGTTTTGTAAGCATTTTTAGATTTCATTCCTTATTTTAAAATCAATTTATCTATTCACATATATCAAGAAATACTAAAAGAATCATTTAAAAATATTCTAAATATCATTTCCCGTTACTTCAAAATGTGACAGTGAAGTCATTTTACAATTTATCTAGTCAGATTACAAACCGACAGATACAATAGGTTCTGTTAAATATATTTTCTTACTGTCTTTTACAGAAATATACAACACCTAAGTCAGAAAGGTAAAGAAGATTTACCTAAATCCAGATTATTGCCAAGAATGTATTACTTTCGTATTTTACAATTAAATTTAATTTATACTCGATATTTTACATTTCAAAGTGCGAATTTTACAAATCAAAGTTTTTACAAACGAAAGTAGATTTTACATTTTAAAAACGTTCGAATTAAATTTTCATAAAAAAACACTGAATTTAATTGTAATTAAGTAATAAAAACTATTTTCTTTAAAATGTAATAAAAATAACTTTTATATAAATATAAAATATCGTTTAATACGTCATTTCGGTTCCAGTGACGAGGGAATATCAATAATTACTCGATTTTCATATATTTATTACCTACAATTATTTCCTAAGATATAACTTACACATTATTTTTATTAAGGCTTGATTTCTTCAATAATAAAACATTAAAAAGTTATTTTTTAATCTGTTTTTATTCTATTTTCATGTATTTGTTTTAAATCAATTTAATCTACATCAAAACATGCATGCATTTGCTCCATCCATGCACTTGTTGGTACATGACACAACTGTGGACTATCGTGGCCTAATGGTGGAGTCTGGTGACCCATTGGTGGACTGTGATGTCCCATTGGAAGACTATGATATCCCATTAGTGGACTATTATGTTCCATTAGTGGATTGTTGTGGCCTATAAGTGGTCTATAATATCCCATAAGTGGACTATGATGTCTCATCATTGGACTATGATGTCCCATTAGTGGACTATGATGTCCCATTATTGGACTATGACGTCCCATTATTGGACTATGATGTCCCATTGGCGGAATGTGATAGGCCATTGGTGGATAATAGTGGTGTATTTGTCGATTGTGGTGAATCATTGGCATCATGTGGTAGCTAGGTGGATTGTGGTCAAATTTGCGCATGTTGACCATCAGTGGTCTGTAGTCAAATCTGGGAAAGTGGAGGAATCGAGTATTATGGTGAAATCTGGGTAAGTTGTAATTCAGTGATCTATAACTTGGTATTTGTTGTACCATTGTTGGATTGTAGTTATTATTTTGTTGAAAGATATATGGTTTGTGGTAACTTTTAGTTGGAATTTGGCGAGTTTTAGTTGAAATGTAATTTCTTGGCGTATAATCTGGATTGTCATATGTTTGTTTAAGTTTATATTTTCGTTGTTGTGTATTTGGAGTTTGGTATCTGTCTGTTGTGAGGTAATTGTTGGATAGATAGGCTTTAGGTAGTTTGTGGTCATTAGTTGGCGAGTGTAGTGTTGTGTGGTGCGAGTGGTGAGTGTGAGGGTGTCAGTAGTCGTAGTGGTCACCGTTGGCTTCTTCAGGGTTGTATTTATCCTCTTCTTCTGCAGGTTCCTGCTTGATGTGTACGTCCGGTGGCGGCAGACGGAACTGAGGGTAGTCTGAAAGAATGCGGGTAGTTGGTTAATTAAGT